ACCCCCTTTTAGCCCCTCATGGTGGCCTCTGCTGTAATCAGTTGCCCTATGCCTACTGCTCTTTCTTTGTTATTAGAATCTCTATTTTCTTTTGGAAATTCTCTTTGCCTCAGATTGCTGGGACTACCAATCAACGTGTTCAGAGTTCTCTTGGCCAAACGTAGCATTTTCCTTCTGAGAATTTGAATCTTAAGCTAAATGATTCAAGTTCAAAATAATATTACATCTGACCTATTTCTTCTGTGGCTCTGTGAAGTGTTTCTATTCATTCCTGTTACTTAGGCCCTTGACGTTATCCTGGTTTCAGTGCTTTCCCAACACCTGCTTTTCAACTTTCTCTTCCAATCTGATTTTTAATTTTTTACATATTTTCAAATATTTAGTTTTAGATAGCCAGAGTGAGTTTCTATTGCTTATAATGAAAGAATCTTCATTGATCCATCCTTCTTAAAGATCAAGAATCTAAGGCTTAAAGAGAATGGGATACTTGCTTAAGGTCTGGGAGTATTTTGGGACTAAAATCTCAGACAGAGCCTGGGTTAGCCAGTTTCTTTATACTGCATCTGCTCTCCCATCTAGAGCTGCAACAATCTTGGAAGGAATGAGTTCTTCCTTATCAATAAGGGACCCAGTAGGATGTGTTATTATTGAACTCTTAAAAGATTATTGGACTTATGCTTCTGGACATAAATGAGTATCTGAGACCAAAATTAGCTTAAAAAAAGAAATAATGCACATGTTCAACAGTCATAAAAAAGGAAACAGTTACTAAGTTACTGATATAAGTAACAATATGGATATGACTCAAAAACAGTATGTTGAGTGAAAGAACCTAGACACAAGAGAATATATACTATGTGCCTCCATTTATGTGATATTCCAGCATTGTGCCATTGAACATGATAGCAACTAGCCAATGTGGTTATTTAAACTTAAGTTAATTAAAGTTAGATAAAAATAAAAATTTAGTTCCTCAGTTACATTGGCCACTGAGAGTGCAAATACAGAATATTTTCTTCATCACGGAAAGTCTTATTGGATAATGCTTTTCTAGAATATATACAGCTATTACCTAAAGATAAAAGCAAGAGGGCAATTCTCTAGGGTCAGGAGTGAGGGAAGATTAATTGCAAAGAAGTATCAGGGAACTTTGGAGGTAATGAAATATTCTTTATTTTGGTTGTGGCGGAGGCTATATGGCATGTAATGTGTCAAGACTCCTCAAACTGAACACTTAGAATTACTGAATTTCATTGTCTGTAAATCATACTTCAATAAAGTTGATTCTAAAAGGTCAGATGTTTGATGGAAATTTTGTTTTAATCACTTATAATTCTCATTGTTAGTTTATTTTTGCAACAATATAAACATATCATCCATCTAAACATATTTTGCTGGTCCCTGCAAGTACAGAGATGAATCCAATAATAAATTCCGCTTCAAGTTTTTCCTGGGCCAGCACAGGCGATGGGCATTATGCTAAAGAGCTCAAATCCAGGAAGAAGGTAGCAGCTGCCTTTACACAAGTGCATAATAATTCAAGGCTTCAGAAAAAGGGAAGCTTCCTTTTACCTGGAGGCTTAAGAAAGGCTTCCTGGTTTTTTTAAGGATTTGTAAGATGTGGATATATGTCAATGGCAGTCTAAAACTATTCTGGATAGAGAACAAAATATGATCCAAGGCAGTAGAGCAACCAGAAGAGTATGTAACCAGTGGATGCATGAAAGAGGGCATGGGAAATAATTCACATGGATCTAGGTGAGCTGGGTTTTGAATATCTGTGTGTAGCAGAGTGCACATTCTCATCTGTAAGGAGCTGTGAAGGAGAAAGTGTTCCTTTCTCTTATACTTCGTCCAGAGTCCCAGGCCTGATGCTGCTGTTTCCCTAAGTCCTTCACTTTCTCCTTTTCTTCATACAAATCAAAGTCTTCACACACAGCATCATTCAAACATGTAGGTCATAGTCAGAAAAGCAGACGTTTTCTCCTAGGCATCTGTGTACCTTATTCTAGTACAATCTCTTGCCTGAAAGACTTTATATACTTGAAATATATCTAACTTGCACACCAAAAAAAAAAAAAAATGTATTTGTATAGTAACCTGAGTATCCTGGGGGAAGAGGGATGAAATATACATATAAGTGGAAATTACGGTAATTATAGTATAATTGTCACTTATTTTCTCAGGTCGTGGATCCCTGTGTGCTATTAGTGTCCTGTTGAATCCTAGAGAGTTTGTCTTTTTGCCCTTAGTCTAGGTAACTCTCTGCATTTATTTTCACAATGCAATAGGAACCAATATTTTCCATAACTATTTATATAAAATTGTTTGCCATGTAGTATCTGTCTCTATTAGCTAAGTAAATTTAGGATTTTTTTAATAACAACTATTTATGTTGAAACATGTATTTTTAATGTTTTTTAAAATAAATTAAGCTATAAACCTTTTGAAATTAAAAACATGTTATAAATATTTATATATTAATAATTTATTTGAGAAGCTAAAGCCTCTGCTGGTAACTTAAAATATTTCACAGTTCTGCTTATGTTCTAGAGTAAATAAATATCAGGCCCAAGAAGAGCACTAACTAGGTCTTACTACTCAAAGTATGATATGAAGACCAGCAGCACCAGCCTCACCTGGGAGCTCCTTAGAAATGCGGAGTCTCAACGTGCAGAGAGCCTGAATAATCACTAATTCAAAAGAACATAAACAACCTTATGTTCACTGAAGTGTTATTTACAATACTCAAGATTTGGAAGCAGCCCAAGTATCCATCAATAGATGAGTGGATAAAAAAGCTATGGTATGTTTACTACCAATCCATAAAAAAGAAGGAAATCTTACCTTTTGCTATGGTGTGGATGGACTCAGAGAACATTATGCTAAGTGAAATAAGACAGAGAAAGACAAGTACTGTATGATTTATTCAAATGTGGAATCTAATGAACTAATAGAATCAGCATGCAAATTAGAAAGACTCATAGAGAGCAGGATGACAGCTGTGGTGGGGGTGGGGGGTGGAGGGAATGAGCAAAAAAGAGAAAAAACTGATAGACAACAGTGGGGTGATTGTGGGCGTTAGGGGAAGAAGGGTGTGGAGAGGTGAAGTAGGGTGTAGGGGAGATAAAGGGTGAAAGAAGACGACTTGAGGCGGTGAGCGCACAATACAGTGTACAGATGATATGTTAATATGCTGTGGTATTGTGCACCTGAGACCTGTATAATTTTGTTAACCAGTGTCACCCCAATACATTTAAAAGGTAAGGAAAAAAAATGTAGAGAATCAGGCCCCATCCCAGACCTACAAGAACAGAATCTGCATTAAATCTGCAGATTTCCAGGTGACTCAAGGAACATTAACATTTGAATAGCACAGGACTAGAGATCATTATGTTACTTTTTGCTTTGTAAATGGGAAAGGCAAAGACTGTGTGATGGAAGGATTTGGCCATTGCCAAAGGATACTGTGTATTTTAAGTTTAAGAACTTTGTATATCATGGTCATCTGTACTTGCCAGTAGCAAGGAATAAAGCCAAACGCTTTAACGCCAATTAACAAATCTATAATTAATTAGTAAAATGATCTTCCCTTCATGTTTCACATTTTGTAGAACAAGCTGTTTGGTTTGGCTGGGGCTCAGGCCGGCATGTTTGTGAATTTCACAATTCACAGATGTTAGACACTCTCAGACTAAGTAAGGGAAGAGAATACCAAGTTTTAAATAGCTTCTTCCTTCTATTGTGACTGAAGCAACAAATAAAATATTTTTTACAGAATATATTTTGAATCTGATTTTTTTTTAAGGAAATGTCAAATTCTCTGAAAAGAACTTTGGATTGTCTCAAAACTTTGACAAATATTGATGTCCCCAGTTTACAAGTAGTCTGTGATTGGAGTGTGCATGGAAGATGTGAACTTGTCATGTTAGTGACACTTGGGCACACGCCGTTGGTTTTTGTTTTTTTTTTCTTGGAGTCTATTTTAATTTAGCTTCTGAATCATATTTCATTCAATTTCCAAATCCACAAAACCAGAATAGGTTTACAGCCTGTATCCAAAAGGTAGTAAATTATTCCATATGTAGACTTTTCTATTATTATATACCTTTTGATACGTGAATAGTTTAATAGTTTTACTCCCAAATAGGTTCAGACAAAGCAAAACCAAAACCAGCAAAACAATAACACATAAATAGGAGAGTGAGTCAGAGTAATAGAGACTAAAATCAAGTAGAATGTTTTCACTGACAGGAAATTTGAAATAATTTTGTAAACTTCAAAATAGTCTCAAATAATATAGTATTTTTCATTTTAATATCACTTTAAGAATTCTGTGTGTGTATTTTAGGTAGGATATTTTAAAACTCAACGAAGTTTATTTTCTTTTATTCGGGGCCGGCAAAACTTCTAAGGGGATGTGAATAGATATCTCTTTCTCTTCGTTGAGAGGAAGAGTGAGTTCTAGGTTAAATATAATCAAGGAATTTCCCTGTCTTTGCTATTTGAGATTGTGACCACAACAGGCGGTTGGCTGAGAGGGAGAATGAAAGGGAGTGGGGGTTGGGGGGAAGTGGAAATGAAAAATAAACAACCTTCTTAAGCAGCTCTGTAAAAACTTTAGCTCCACAACAGCTACAGAAGTCCTCAAGTCAAATCAGTATGCAAATACAAAGAAATGTTAATTAGCTGGAGCAGAGTAGCCGCTCTTAAGCTCAGTTCTGTCATAAAAGTCCAGGCTGCTGAAATTAAACTCTGATGCCATTCATGCCAGCATCCAATCACCAGAGAAACCAGAAGTTCAGAGATGCCTTCAAGTTGCCAACAAGCGTGGCCACTATACGTCAAGGATTCTAAAACCCCGATAGAGGGGGAAGAACATATTTAGAAAGGATGCCCAGCTGGTAAGATTTGACTGTTTCTGATGTTTTAGTTCCTTGATGAATCTCATTGGTTAAAATCAAGGAACGCTCCGCCTCTTTGCAAATATGTGTGAAGGGGAAAAGTGTCTAAACTTCTATGTCTGATAGCAGTTGACCCTTTTGCTTTTAGTTAGCTCTCTGGCTTTCTATCTCTATATACACAGGTATATGTGTATGTGTTATATAATTGTTCTCCATTTGTTGATATCAAAGAGAATTGAAGGAAATGAATTTTGAAACTTCACGGTGTGCCACCCTACAGTACTGCCCCGACCCTTACATCCAGCGGTGAGTTTAAACGTGACATAACTTCTGTCAAAACTTAATTGGCGTGCCTTGTGTATTATGAGTGTTTCTGCTGTGTACAAACAGCAATCCCTCCTTGTTTATGAGCACAGTGATATTATTTTGGACTTTCTGTGGACTTAAAGTGGTCTGTGGGCATCTTTTTTATTATTAGTTTTTCTTTTTTAGTTGAAGTCTAAATGGACAAAGTGACTAAGTTTGAAGACAATCTTCCCATGATTTCTTAAAAAAAATCACACCATTTTAAGGTGTTTAAAATCTGTTATTTGCCTTGCTCAGTCAGAACTCACCCACCCAAGAAGAAATTTCATTGGATAAGGATCATTTATGGATGATCTTCAAGTTAAAATAAACACAGAATAATTTTAATTTATTAAAAATAGGTAAACAGCCATTGTATTTATATCAAGGAGATTATGGCTTGTCACTTTGGCTCTAAGGAATATTTTCTTCTTAATTTGTTTTATAACAAACATCATCTTTTGACAAGTCTGACTTTTAAAACTTCTTATTGTACTGAATTTTATTTATGTTTATAGAAAAAAACATTTGCCTAGCACTGAGAAGGAATATTAGTGAGCACCCACGATGTGTGTATGTGTTTCAAATTAGAGTTTGCTATTTTTAAACTGGTAAATGTAACCTGAACAGTGTTTTTCCAGTCATAAAGTTATGGGAGATATTTAAGTCGTATGTACCAGTGTGATGTTGTTAATTCAACAGCATGAGGTTTGATGTTGGAATTTCATACTTTATTTTATAAGACTAATGAGAGAGGACCTCTGAGTGTTGAAAACAGTGGGGTTACAAAGGGGTTAACTTGTCACTCACCACAGGTGTCTATTGGAGCCTCATACTAGAAGTGAAGTGGGTTCTCTGGGCAGAGCTCAGTTGCTGTCACATTGCCCAGGCAATTATGGAAGATGTGTGATCTTTTTTCATTAATATAATTTGTCACCATGTAGAACACTAATGTGGACTATGTAAGCTTTGCTTTTCTTTTTGTGAGGTTTCTGGTGGGCTGTGTGAAAAAGCAGAAGAGAAAAAGTTATGCAGCAAAGTAAATGGAACAGTCGAGAGAAAAAGAAAACAGGAGGGGGAAAAGGAAAGAAAGAAACAAACGGAAGGAAGGAAGGAAGGAAGGAAGGAAGGAAGGAAGGAAGGAAGGAAGGAAGGAAGGAAGGAAGGAAGGAAGGAAAGAAGTTTGTGGTCTTCCAGGATGAAATGGAAAATGTGAATGATGTTTGATTCCTGCCTTGCTCTCTCTGAAGTTTATATATTCTTGGATAACTTGAAAATAAGATGTAGTTGTTGTTGGAGATTGGATGGATAAAATGTGGAACACCAAAGATCTTCTAGTTTTCAGCCTCAAAATTTTCTATTCCACTAAAAATCTTTTGAAACAATATTTCTAAGAGCATAATTCTAATGAAACATTAGTTGGATTATGCTTCCCTTGAAGGCATGTTTTTAAAAGTAGGTACTTGGATATACTTCAGCTTTAGAAGAAACTTTTTTTTATTGATTAGGAACCCACATGTTAGTCATCCTGTACACCTCTACATCGAGCATCGATTTTTCAGCTGGTGTGCCACATTTTAAAAATGTGCAATATCTGACTATTTAGTCAGGGACGCTGGCCTCTTTTCCCTTAGATTGTCAAATAAAAACATGACAACAGCCAACACAGCAATAGCCAGCCAGTATGAGTGAATCAAAATTATACTTATTTTTTCTTGTCAGCTCGGCAAAAAATAATTTTTTTGGTGTGCTGCAGAATTTTAGTAATTACTCTCTGTGTGCTATGAGATGAAAAATGTTGAGAATCGCTGGTCTAGAGGCATTTCTAGTGATTGATGACAAAGACCTGTAAATATAAATAAGAGGAAATAACTTTTCATATTGTTCCAACAAACTGTTAATTCATTGAGCAAATCTTCAAAAAGTTTAGTTTTTGAAGATTGTAAACTTTCAAATAACAACAATATTTTAAAATAGTTTTAAATTTTGCTGAATCCCCTGAGCTTTAATGATGGCGAGTGTCCCTTTCGGGGCACGGAGGGCGGTATGTTGGAGGTGCTGTGAGACCACAGAGCAGAGTGGTCAGGTAACTTTTATTTGCCTAATAAATTGCTTTAGGCAAGATTCTGTAATTCCCATTTGCTATGAAACTTAACTGGCAAAATAAAAAGCAGAAAAATATTTGTTGCTGAGCATCTACTCTGTACCAGGCCCTGGAAATACAAAAATAAATAAAGAAATAAGATACAGCTATAATGTTTATTTAACTCTACAGTACCTATTTATTTCTTAACATATTTTCTCATATACTAGGTTGGCCAAAAAGTTCATACAATTTTTTCCATAAAATAAAAGACACATTTCTCATTTTCACCGATAACTTTACTGATTTGGTTTTTTTGAGTATGCCGGCTATCTCTCTTGCGGTATAATTGTTATGGTGTGGGGAGCGAGACTTCAGTCAGGAGGCCTTCTTTCCCCGCCTCAGCTCTTGTCTCGCTGCAAGAGATGAATTCAAGCAAGAAACAGACAAGTTTGGTAGAAATGAGATAGTTTATTTATACACTTGAGCAAAAGCTACAAGTGGGCACTTGGCTAATCCAAGTACCCCAACTATTGGGGTTTGGGGGTTATATCCTTCAGCTAGCTTTTAGAGATATCCCTCCTTTTTCCCTTCTAGATCTTGGGAATAATATACAGCTACAAAGGCTTTCTTTCTCAGTAAGTGAAAGCTTTGTCTCAATTAGTGAAATCGTTACAGAGGCCCCCTTTTCCAGTGCAGAATCTCAAGGACTACTGCCCTTCCTCCTGCTCCTGACATTCAGGACACTCAGCAACCTCAGGAAGCTTGTTACAGAAGCCCCTTTTCTCAGAACAGTCTCAAGGGCTCTCCCCTTCTGCGCTACTTGGCTTATAATGCTGAGGACACCTGGCAATCTTATCAAACCAAGCTCAGGACTGCTGCGTATATTGGTGAGATGTTTTCCTTTTGCTTCTAGTCTCCTTGTATTAAGTTCTTTGTTAGACTGTAATGATGAGGGCTCTGCCTATATTTCCCCTCTGGTTGCTCATTCCTACCTGCTACCTACCATAATGTTGATTGTTTTCAACTAATGTCTTGATTTGATCACCATCAACTTGACTGGTCTACCCAGCAGTGGAGCATTGTCCAGCGAAAAATCTCCAGCAAGAAACTCTGCAAAACACTTTTGACACATTCAATTAGTCACAGCACCTCCTCCATACACTACACAGCTCTTTTTTCTGGCATTTCAGTTGCGTTTTTTGAAATAATAAAACGTAATATGCTGAAAATGTTGCATATTTACTTCCATTTTCAATATTGAAATGGTTACACAAAAATTTATCAATTTTGATGCTTTTTTAAAAAATGCATGCTGATATGACAGCTGTCACAATACAATCTAACAAAATTGTTTTGAATGAAGTTCAAGACAATTAAGTGCTACTGGAGCCAACTTATGGGGAAAAAAAAAAACAAACTTTTTGTTTTTTTACAGTTAAGAACCCCAATGTTCTTAACTGTTTTGTCATATATTTTAAGGAGTGAATTATTACTACTTTCCCGCCTATACTATTTAGTGAGTAAATGAATAAGTGAAAAAATCAACTGTAAGTAATACTGTCAAAGCAAGAATCACACATATAGTATCATTTGGTTTGAGTTGGTTTTCTAAACAGACAACACTTGTAGTTCTCCGTTTACAAAGTCTATTTTAAGATAGACCAAATTTAATCATTCTATAATCATAGTCATCTACATAGTTAAATTTGTCTTTTTCCTGACCTTGTCTTTGGAAAGAAGTCACAAGAGAACTTTCAAAAACAGAAAGAAAAATATCCTGTTATTTTTAACTCCAAGCTACCTTAATACACGAATTTCCTTTTATCGCTGAACAGAATAAATGAGAGATGTTATTATCATTTATTACTAAATGTTAATGCCATTCCCAGAAAGCCAATTTTAGGATACATTTTGCAGTACTATAACAATCATTCAGTTAAAATCAAATTAACCCTTTGTTTTTTGTGTTTCTTAGCATATCGACGTATTATGCATCTAGTTGATCTTTGAAGTTGACACTAATTTATTTCAGTCTTTGTAAAAACTCTGAAAATCTAAAAAGCAGTTCTACTGCAGAGCTTAGATTTCCACTTCACTAATATTGACCATTACAAAGAGAAGGTAGCAGAATTACGTTGTCATTTTATTGCTCATTTACCTGTAACAAAATATTGAAGCATAGATGAAATGACACAAGATCAATAAATAAGAGCCAGTGAGTAAGTCAGCATTTCCTTATAATAAAAACTTTATAAAATAAATTCTGTTGATTTTTTATTAGGTCAATACTCAAAATAAATCTAAAATTTATCATTTTAGAAGCTAAATCTTTGTTAATTTATTTTTGGGGTTGTAATTTGGACCTCCTTGAATACCTTTAGTTTTAGAATTGCCATCTAGTTTTTAAAATAGATTTTTTAACCAAGGAATACTAAAAGACTAATATTTTTCAAAAGAAATTGAAACTGTTAAAGTGCTGCATGGGTAAAAAGTATTTCCTATGAAAACTACATATTGATTGTGAATTTTATGCTTTCTATCTTAAAGGTCAACTTTATTAACTGTTCCTTCTAAATATACCCCAAAAGGAAGGGTGGTGACAGTGAACTTATAGTGGAATATCATTTCACTAATACCACATAAAGGCATATGTGGTTTGTGTTGGATGTCCTCTTTACATCTACCTTCCAACTTTCTGCTTCTTGTTCTGTACTCCAGAAAGTTAACTTTTAAATATTGCATTGATAGTTCCTTTCACCTCCAGTTGTTGTGTTCAACCAGTGGGAAACTCTAGCAGGATATCTATCAAAGGATACACGGGGAGTGAAGTTGGGGTAGATGTTTTCCTGGCCACCTCCCTGTTGGGTTTTCTACT